TGGAGATAATACTTATTCATGATTACCATCTTGGGAAAAAAAATGACATAAAACAATTTCATTGAGCTGTTCACTCCCATTTTTTCCAAAGACCAATTTCACATCAAATTCCTTTCAACTTTATGCAAACCGCAACCTTGCTTTGCGTTAACTGTGAGCACCCTTCCTCAATCAATCCGAATGGTGCATGAAAGAAAGATGTATGAACTACTTTGAGATGACGCAATTGGCATCATATCCTCCAAACATGTTTTTGAACGGTTTATATGATCACAATATGTGCAATAGTTGGAAACATACTAATACGTTCCAGTAGATAGATAGAGAGCTCAACGACCACCATATTATGATCAAAATTTAGAAGCTGAAGTTGTATCTATTTGATCTCAAGTATCAAAAAGTGGTATAGACCTCAGTTGTTCACCAAAGAAAAAAAAGAAGTAGAGGCACTCCCTGACCACATAGTCATATTTCCACCCAAAAAAAAAAAAAAAAAGCACTTGGCATTCAAACAAAAACCTAGAGTTCCATCAAAAAGCCAAGCTTGCATATTCCCTTTCCTTGTCCAGACATCGTAGAGATGTCAACGGAGCTCAAATCCAAGTTGGAATTCCAATCCAAGTTGTTTCTTTTTGGAGAAAAAGGTACAATGCTCAATAAACACTTGTCAACTACAAATTAAAACGAATTGAGCAAGCTTAATCCTAAATATTAGAAGCTAACTATAATCAGTGGCTTTCAAAAATACTCCCTCCATCCCATAATTATTGTCCACTTTGCCCAAAAAATTTTGTCCCAAAATTATTGTCCAATTTGACTTTTTATGGATCAAGTTACACATTTATCCTTAGTAAAAAAACATTATCCATAAAGTCTAAGTGGTTAAACAATTACTTATGTAGGGATATATCCGGTTGTTTAAGGTAAAATATAGTTAAGTTTGACCAAAAATAAAATTTTTCATTTTAGTAAAAGTGGACAATAATTATGGGACGGAGGGAGTATTAATTTGCTCAGATGTTCTTTCGCATCATTTTCAGCTGTCATCAGCTTTCCATCTTCATCGCCGGACTGAATTGCGACATAGCTGTGATGATGACACATATGCGAGAAATTAATAGAGAGAGATCCGAACAAAGTGAAACCTCACCGCTGATTTTTTGAATCGGGAGATTGGGAATTAAATTATCAGGCATTTTGGACTGGTGGCATTTGTTAACTTGCAGAATCAAGAAGCTGTTCCAATCCAACACCACCTACACCTGCTCGAAATCTTCATTGAAAGCATTTACATTTCAGATTTACCAACATCGGCGCTACACCGCCAGTAGTAGAAAAAATATACTTTGTCGATGCTAAATCCACTCGGTGGACACCATCTTCAGCGTTCATTGCAGCTCAATCAAATATGACAAATCATTTAAATAAAATCCACATACCTTAGAGTGAAGCGTGCGATTCTTATATATATTTATTGTAGCTCTTTTTGTTGCCGAAGGCATATATAATGCCTCGGCCACCATTATGGTTTATCATAGGAACTCAAATCTCTTTCGGAACAAATTAAAGTAAAATAGCTGAAAAAAAAAGTGAGGAATTAGAAGAAAAAAGAATATTGAAAAAGGATTTTAAAAAAGGATTATGCAAAGAAACTCCTAGAAAGATTAAAATTAAGGATTTTAAAAAAAGATTCATATAAAAAATAAGAAATTCACCCAAATAACTTCTGTCCGTTCATCGAAAACTTGCGATCAACTCATAACGGAATTAAAAAATATAAGGAGATAAAAAGAAGAAACTAAACCTTGATTTTGTGCATGCAGCGGCATACAATTAAAAATAGGTAGAACTCAGATGACAGAAGGCCATTGAATTTGTTCGTCTGTATTTCAATATATTTAATTTAATTTAAAAGAAAAAAAAATTGAAAAAAAAAAAACGTTCCAAAGTAGCAACATTCGTAACCTGCCATAGATTAGCCATATGACAGGAGAAGGTCGACAGAAGCAAGGGAAGGGGGATCGAGATGGGGAAGTTTTGGCATGCGTTTTCATTACTCATGGAGGGATTTAAGGATTCTTGAGATTTTTTTTAAAAAAAATTAAATTCAACTTCAAAATTGTGATATGATATGAATGGAATGATTTGATCTTTTTGTTTTGATTTGGTGAATCAAATCATTGAAAGAAAAAATTTAGCCATTGACAGAAAAATAGTAAATATGTTCTTTTCCTTTTTTTTTTCCTTTTTTAATAAATCAAAAAATGAAGAAAATTGCTAGTCATCCCTTTTTACCCTATTAAAGCAGAAAACAGGATACTGATGTGGTAATTTTTTATTAAGATATTTTGGGTCCAAATGCACTATATTGCATAAATCATTCTGCCACGTGTCACATCCTTTTAAAAATAAAAAATATATTTACAATATTAACGAAGAGATCAGATGACCATACTCATTCAAATTTTGAATTTGACAGTGTATGGAATTTTCCTTTTCCATTTATTTAGGACTTTTGAAAAAATTAATTTTCGGTCAATCAATTATTTTCATCAAAAACTAAATTCATTCCTAATAAGTTTTGATTATTTATATATCAATTTATTAGATTAGTATATGATAAGTGAAAAACTATCTCGGTTTCCTCTCTCCGAATTTTTTATTATTAAGTTATATAGATTAACTCTAATTTAGGACGTCGATTTTCTTCCTTAAGAATTTACGGGATCGATGGTGCATGAATGGCTTTCGCACTTAGGAATATCTTCCGATGCATCTTGGTTAGATTGAAGAATGTTTCACAAGAAAGGTCCGGTATATTTCTAATTTGCTACCCGTAAGGAAAACAAACCACACATACATTATATCATGTCTACCAGTTTACAAAATGGAACAAATATCAATTACGTCTTAGAATTGTCACCAGAAATTTATTCTAATTCTATGCAGATCTCGTTGCGATCAATAATCATTCAATGTATGTATAAAAATTATATGTACATATTTTTTTTCTCAAAAAAGTTTTGTGGTTTGCATTTTGCAAAACCCTTCAAATGCACACTTTAAAAAAATGCCCCATGTGGAGACCATGTGGGTTTGATTTCTTCCTTTGTTGCCAAAGCCAAAAAAAAACCTTATGCCCTACGAATTTTTCCAACTTTTACGACCCCACATTCTCTACTTCAGCATTTTCTCCGGATCCGGCCAAATATGATCAACAGTTCCTTAACTAGTATTATTAAAAAGGTTACAGTTTTTTCTTTTGGCGCTCAATCACATATCATCTCAATTTTCATATCAGCTCCTTCAAAATCGCCCGTCACTATTATGGAAAAGTAGATTATTATTATCGATAATAGATATCCTACAATGTAAAAAGATAATACGTCAAAAAATTAAGCTGATTCACCTTAGTTGTCCTTGGTGATGTTTGAGTTTGACCTAATCTTGTGAATAAATTGATAGCCCCTGCCATTGATGAAGTAGCACGTATGATAATGAAACAAATATAAATTAAGTTGCCCAATAGCAATTTTGGAGATTTACTTCAGATTATTCGGTTACATGGTATTTTATAATGCAACTTGTGGAGAATTTGGTTAGATTGCACCACATATTGCAGCGCGATTTGTGCACGACCCCTAGACAATATATAATCAAGGGAGAGTATTTATATCATTGTATTGTATTTATTCCACTTTAAAAATAATATATTTTTCTTAATCGTCTACTTGTAATTATCTAGATCAAATGATAAAGAATTTATTCTTTCGCACACAACTTGAGTTCGACAATGTACTATCACAAATAATTATTGAAGGATTTTTACTTTTTGAAAGGAAGCTGCCTATGTTAGGTGAAGATTAATCGAAATTCTGTATATATTAACTTAGAAACTCTCATAATTTTTGTACGAAAAAGATCGCACATATATGTTTTCCATTCGAGCATAATAAATAGAGTGCGTTTTTGGGTCATGGCAAATCGTTCAAAAGCGCATGAATGTGACGATTCGGTTAAACATATTAATCAAAGAGGCTGTTTTTTGGTTGATATGCTATATATATTGCTAAAGTCTAAAAATTAATCGTCATCATCAACTAAAAAGCCATAAAAGACGGCTGATTTGTGCTTACAAAAATTCGAGATTCCTTTGATCATCATTATCATTAGATTAAAGTTAAAAATCCACAAAAAAAAGTCCACCACACATGCGCAAATCCGTGCATTAGGGCCGAAGTTTTGTGTGGGTTTTATTATGCCTTGGTGTTTTTCTGTACTCACATTTAGTTACATGTTTTAGGTTTGCATGAGATTTTGGTGACCTTACAACCATTTTGTCAACAACCCTATTTAGCTACATGCGTATAAAGCAATGTTTAGTACAATGATTATATCTTTTTATTTTGATGTAGTAGGAAATTAATTACACGCCTTCCTCCGAAATGCATCTCGTGAATAGTCTTTCAACCTCATGTCAATGTCTAAAACAAGTTTTCACACTGGACTTTGAAATCCAAATATATATCATAATCAATTTCAACACACGTGATTTAACAAATCAATGATCTCAATTAAGTTCAATAAAACTAATAACAGAGTGAAACATAGTCTAACTTACAGTGATAAGATCATACAATTGAAACGAGATAAGTCGGTGTAACACAAAGAGAATGATTAAGGGAATTGAAACGAAGGACTATTGAGTGATTAACGAAGAGATAAACCTACATATTAAGTCTACTAATTAATTTGAATTTTCTAGAATTTCCCTCATGTATACATTACACATAGGAAATGAATACTACTTTTGTGTATAACACTAGGAGGGTGTTTTTATTTGGGGGTTTCGAAGGTGGACCCTTGATTCCATGTGCCTGCATGTGGAGTGTTTTTATCGGATTGGCCCACCATACACTTCCTTTGAGCCAAATAAATGAGCTCCTTTGCACATTCTTCTTCTTCTCATTCTTCTCCATTCCCATTCCCTTTTTTTTTTTCCCTCTCAAAGTGTTTTATTCTTCATGACCTTCACCTTCTTGAACCATATTTGAATTACCACTTTTTCTTCCTGCGGATATTGTTTTCTTATTTATATCTTGCTTTGCTCCAACTTGTCGGTCGATCCCTCATCTTCATTACGGGCATGATTTGCGGAAATTGATTTCTTTGACACTGTATTTTATCTAAGGTAATTGTCAACACCTTTGCTCTTCTTGACAATTCGATTTATTACTCGTTCACATCGTTATGCAGATTTTGTATAGCACATTTAATTTTATTGAATCATGCATTTTTTTTGGAAGAATCAAGCATCTTTATGGTTGTAAATTGCTCGCCCATGAAAAAAAAAACACATTTTTTTTTCATTTTGGAAGTTTGATACTTTTGTAACCCTTTAATATAGAAGTTTACAATGGCGTCACTCTTTAAGCATTAACTTATTAAGATTTAGAAATTGAAGGAATAAACAGCTTCTTATCATTTACAAATTTAATTTTTTTTTCTATGTTTTAGGATGAGGTCTCCAGGTTCAGTTAAGCGAGAGTTCTTGAGAAAATGGTTAAAGGGCTTACAAGTTTACAGCTCTTCAAACAACGAAATGAGCATTCTTGAGAGGAAAAAGGTGATAAAATTATCAGCTGATGTGGCTATGGCATCCACTAGAATTCATTCAAACTCAAAGTATTCATCTTCTTGGAGTCGAGCCCTCATGGCAAAAGCTTCAAATGATGCCTCAAATGCACCCCTTTTGTCGCATGTGCTAGGGTCCGACAACGGCGTCTCGGCCGATAGGTCAATGATATCGGAGAAAGATGCTGCGAAGAGGAACTTGGTGATGATGAGGAACAAGAGGATTAAAAGCAAGAAGATTTTGAGAAGAAGTTGTAGCAACAAAATTAGGAGTTTGAGAAGGAAAGCAGCCCATGTGGTTGATGATAAGGGTAGAACAAGTTCTAATATCGTTGCAAAAAAACTTGTAATGAAGAGGACTCAAGTGTTGAAAAGGCTTGTTCCTGGTGGGGAATTAATCATGGATGAAATTTCATTGATAAGGGAAACCCTAGATTACATCTTGTCACTTAGGCTCCAAGTTGATGTAATGCGGCATCTTGCCAATGCATCCGAGAAATTGGATAGTATGTAGCTTTGATAATTTTTTGTTCTGTATATATCACGCACTCGGTGTCTAAAATACTGTCCCAACCACTAAGAGAGGCAAAGCTAGCTGATATACCAAGGGGATATAAGTAGGAAAAACGTTGTATACACATGTAGTTGTACTTGTTTCCTTTTTTCCTCTCCTTTTTTGGTTAAGGTGGAATACATATGTGATTCTGCTCTTAATTTGCTCTAAGAAGATGGTCATGGGAGAAAATCTAATCCGGCTGGTGAAGGTATGGGGAGTGACTTGTACAGACAAACAACGCTTAAATTAATTATTATGTGATTATATAGTTATTATTTCTGCCTTTATAAAAAATGTCTGCAATCTGCATTGTGTTCATTATCTACTTCTATATATCATCGGTTTTTAGTGTTTTTTAGAGTTAGAATGTTACATAGCTAGAGGAGATTTAGTAAAGCTTTATATCCCGATTAAATAGTTGGCTAACAAGTAGCAAATGAGGTTTTATATATTTATGAGAAGCAAATTGAAATTAAATAGAGAGTTAAGTTGTTATTTTTATGTAAATAAGACTGGAAAGAGTAATTTGATAGTTCCGAAACATTTGATTGCCAATATATAGTGAGATACATTAACAGATAATTTAGATAGATATGATATCTTATATATGTAGTACATATGTATATAAGAATATAATGCTGGCTCCTACATACATGAACATTTATGATATATATTTATTTATTTATTTCATAGTCCAATTAAATTTCATGGAAAAAAAACCTTAATTATTGCTGCTTTTTTTTGGGGGAGGGATGTTTAATTCAAGAAACTAAAATTTAGAGTTGTTGCAAATCTCATTACTCCAGCAATGTGGAGGTTAAATGAGATTATTAATAACAATATTCTCTTTGCCCAAAACAAGCCAATTCTCAATATAATATTCATAAGTGAGTGCAAGTGTACAGAATGCAAATTTTTCTTCAAACTTCTCATGATATATATACTTTCCCTCAATTTAGATCTACAATGATCAGGGCCGAAGTTTTTCGGATTCGATATTCATTCCTATTATTTTTTGAAGAAAAATAATTCATCCTAGATTTTTTGTGTTCCAAAGTAATCCAATTCAGCCAATTCAGGCCAAAACTCATTTCTCCGGCAAGACTCCGACGAAATTTGAATTTTATATTTCTTTTTTAACATTCTTTTCTAGAGAAAAAAAAAATACTGGTTGTTCCCCTCATTTTGTAATTTATTAGTTTTGCCCCAAACAAGGAATACTCTTTTGGATTGCCCCAAAAAAGTATTGATTATTTGGGGCAAAACTAACAAATTATAAAATGAGGGGGAAAAAAAGATGAGTCGTTTTTGTTTTTAGCCTTATGATCAACTACTTTCCTGATTCCTAGTAAGAAAGCACTCCAGATTCCTACATTGCGGAACCTCAGCCTAAAATGCGGTCCATCTAAGAGATACAGAATGAATCCCTATTAGATTAGTGATCCTTGAATTTCCAAGCAGATACAGAGTGTATCGACGTCCCTTCCCATCCAAAGATGAGGCTTTTCCCATCCACGTTAATGCTGCAAGAACTGGACTTATTACATCTTCTAAGCAAAATCCCTGCTTGAGTAACTGCTAAGTTGCTGAACTCTGTTTCCATCATTCCACATTTGGCCAAAAAATCCCTCCAGAATACAATGCTTTCGAATCGGACTAACCTCCGGCGGCCTTCGGTTGCAACCATGTTTCCAATCATCTGGCAGAACACAACCTCTTCCATCCATTTCCTAAACGTAGCCCTGTGTTCCAGGGTATGCCTGAGTGCATCAAACACTGCACTGCAGAATACGAGGCCGTTGTAAAATCGTGTCGGAAAGTCCCGCGTGTTCACGGTTGCTTCGATTTCTATGATCGCCATGATGAATGGATTGATATTCTTAACCACCTGTAAGAGAGTTTCCAAGTGGTTTGGACAGGCTAACTGAGTTGAAAGCCTGAATTCGGAATAAATCGCCACCGCTTCATCGCGTTGAAAATCGAAATGATCTGGTTTGAGGTCCTTCAGCTCTGAGATGACCATGAGAAATTCAAAAGGTAATCGAAGGCTCTTAGCAAAAGACGACAACTGATTTCCTACCGCTTCCAACATCTCTTTACTGCTCCCAACGGCCGTTATCCTGAGAATTTCAAGCGGACAATCATATCGATTCGCGAGATTCTGCATGATTAGAGTCCAATGTGAACCGTTGTTGATTCCAAAATCTATCAAATGAACCCTTTTGGAACGTTCCACGGCATCCAGGATCGCCTGGATGGCTGCAGATTGCGAGGCTAGTTGAAGTGGAAATTCTTGTTGGCATTCCATCAAATCAGGTCGCAAATGAATCTCAGCCTGTTGCACATCCAACGGCTTCTTCATTCTCAACCTTTCTCCAAATTCTTCAGCAAGGTATCTTCCTGATTCACGGTCAATCCTCTCACGAAGCCCTTCTGAAAAATAGTACACAACCCTTTGAACAGGATTGCCGTTTATGGAAGCTGATAAATCACAAAGTGATAGCAGCTTTTGAGCCTGAACCCACTGACGATTCGCCACCTTCTCAGCCGCTGCTTGAAGTAGTAATGCTAATTCCATATCTTCTGAAGCTTCTCCAGAAGGGAGGGCGTCACATTCAGATTGATCTTCCAATTCACTAGCAATAAGCAAGGAGGCAGCACCCGATCCGACATCGCGCGACTTGATCCGAAGCAAACGTTGTTTGGCGAGCTTCATAATGCTGACAGTTGAAAAAGTCGAGGTCGCATTTGTATTTCCATCCCACAAACGCTTCCCTTTGGTGTTGTTATCTTGCTGCTTCAAAGGCAACAAACATGGACCTTCATTATTGTGACAAGAATTTTGTTGTGATAAATTTTTGATCATTGATCCACTACCCAAATCCATGTTGTTTCCTCCCACAAATGTTAAAACGTTTAGGATATTTTGACTCTGATTTTCAAAATGAACATTATGAATCTTATATATTTATCATTCCAAAGCAGAATTCTATTTAATATTGATGAGATTCTCCACAGAATATGGCCAATTGAAAGGTGCAGACTATGATGTTCCAAAAGCCTAGCAGGACACGAGAAAAGAGCAAGAAGTGACTCATTATCCTTGTCATTAAGCATGAGATTTACCAAAAAAATGTTGCACACAAGACAAATGAAGGCCTATTCGAAGAGTTTAATTATGCAGCCGTAACGAGGATTCTTCTGCAACTAAATGATTTGAAGATGTAGATTGGTAGAAAAAACTGAGTTCCATATATTATTCCTTTGAAGCATCTAAATAGCCTTATGCACTTAAGCTTGGCCCAAATTACAAATGTAAATGATAGAGCCCATTGCACGGAGCTGGACTTAATAACTTAGCACTATCTTGTTGGGTTGCTCAGCTCCTCCTTATTTTTGTAATTATTTCTTTTTCTAACTATTTCTTAATATATATATACATATGTGTGTTTGGTTAACCATTATTTAATATCTTTCATGTTGGAATTTTAAACTTTACTGTGACTTTTCATCTTTTCGTTGTATTTTAGCCTAAAATTTCCATAGAAAAAACAGGAAACAAAAAATCCAGATGAAGACAACGCCAACATATACAGAAGCTAAATTGCATATACCTTTCTAAACATTTCTGAAAATTAATCAAATTTTGAACATTACTAAGTGATTCCTTTTGGAAGTATAAGGAAATGTAGACACGAATGTTTTGTAAATTTAGCTCATTTTATATGTACAGTGTAGTGAAGTGAAACTTCTCATACATGTATATCGTATTTTAAGGAAAAATACTAAAAGAAATATTTCCTCCGTCCCAAAATTATCGTCCAGTTTGAGATTTTATTTTTAGTACAATTTGAACTAAAAATAAAAACCCAAACTGGACAATAATTATAGGACGTAGGACCAGAACGTTTAATCCTCAAGAGTTTCCTCTAACTCTATAAATATGGATCATTTGGATGTTTTTAGGGTACAATGAAACCACCAAATACTTGGAATATTTCCAATGGCATTTCTTATCCTTGTATCAGGTTGTTGGTTCACTAAAGTGCGTAGTGAAACAACATGATCTCCATTTTATCTCATAGGAAATTCGCCTAAACAATTGCACTGTATAGTGGGCGAATTTAGCCTAAAGGAAAACAAATTTACTTGTGACTTGGAGAAAAAACTTTCTTTTGTCCTAATCATAAATTCTTCCTCTTGTTCTTTGATCTAGTGCAGCCATTGTTGTCCACTATTCTTGAAGTAGAATTCCAACAATATATACTATTACATCGCATCCTATTATAAGTTGAAATGTTGAATAACCGTAGTCATAAATGAATAGATCTATTTAACTTTTTTTTATATATACAATAGAGAAAGTAAAAGTTTAAAATGCTAATATATTACACTTCGTGAGTGGAAAGGCTAGACTGTTTAATTTTTCTAATCCAGTAATGAGCTGGAATAATAATGTTCCCTTAAAAAAAAAAAAAAGCTGGTATAATAATGTTAGCATTACAAAAGAATGAAATTATATATAACGCCACAAAATTCAAGGAATAGTAGTAGTAAAAAAGGGTACAAGAAGGCAAACACCAATCTAGTTTCTATCATTATTTTAGGTGAAAAAAATAAATGTTAGGTCGAATCGACTTTGAAAATAGCCATCAACCCATCAATGCTTTGATTAAGGTAATTAGGGTTAGGTTAATTTACATGATTTACTAATTAACCTAACCCTAGGGTTAGGTTAATTGCTTTATACATAGAAGCGAGAGCAGTGAGACTGATCGTGGGATTTAGCAAGAAAATGTACGAACTCTTCAAAGATTGGGTTAAAGACCAATCAAATTAAGTAGTTCAATGTTAAAAAAAATGTTAAGAAAACAAACGATCACTGAAGAGAAGTGAAAAGAGAATAGCCTCAAACCCCTACAATTTGCCTGTGATTTAGGAGGGTATTAAGGCACCCAAATCAGCTAACTGGTTGATTAATCCATCGGAAGCAAACAAACAGATCAAAAAAACAGCTTGCTGTTTCCCACAAAGATGCTTTCCTGATTCAGCTCAGAAATCTTTTTTTAGAATTTATATCTTTGTCCATACTATTTCTAGCCAGCTTCTCAATCCTCCAGGAGCTTTTAATTCGTAAAATTATTTTTCCAAGAATTTCAAGTACAAGTTTTGGGAACTACAAAGCAAAATTAAAAGTGGAAAATGGCCCATGAAGCTATCAAAAGGGTGAACCCCAACCCCATTTGGCATCTTTCTTGACATTAATTGGACAATGGCTTTTGTTCTCCCATACCTCGGCACAATCAAGCCAGCTACTTCAATCGCCCACAATAAGATCAACTATATTTGTTCATCCAGTAGTACTCTTCTTTTACGGCGCTAATACGACTTCTTTACGTTAGTACAATATAAAAAATAAATAGAATAGAATAAAAATAAATATAAAAATAAAAAGAACAAGAAGAAGAAAGACTTGGTTATTACACGGGTTATATGAAAAACATTACGTTAGTACACTTCTTGCTTAATTAGTGCAGCTCATAATATAGTTTAATCAGGTATCATGGAGTTAGTTTCCATGGGATTAGAACCCTAGAGTTGTGATTAGTTCAAGACCAACTTGGCCTAATTTAGCTTTAAAACCACGGCTAACTAAAGCCGCCTAAATAATTCATAATAAGGTCACTTTCTTGGATCAAACATTGCCAGTAATTAAAATTCGGTTGACAATGTAGGTTTTCTCTCTTACAGTTGAATTAAATCTTCTTTTTTTTTAACATTAAAATTGATGTTTTTCTAAACTAGAGAGAACATTATATATCTATAGCCGGTGAATTTCGTTACTCTTTACCTACCATATTGGAGTATAAAACTTTTCTTTTCTTTTTTTGAAACATAAGAGTATAAAACATAGATGCGCATAGAATGCTTGACTGCTACCCGAAGGATTAGAAGAGTATAAGATCATATTGTGTTAGCTACAGTAAGTAGCTTAGTTTACTTAATTAGTGAAAAATGTATTTTCTTAATTATTTTTTAAGAAAATAGACAGAATTCCTCAATCAAAAGTCAGTTGGGACTTTAAGCTACTTGTGAATCTTCCACAAGGATTAGAAAAGTATACCATTTTATTGTGTTAGAAGCTTAGTTTACTTGATTAGTGAAAATTTAAAATGTTTTTCTTAATTAGTGAAAAGAATAGACAGAATTCCCCAATCAAATGTCAGTTAGGACTTTTAGCCATTTGTGAATCCTCCACAAGACTTAATAAATTTATTATTCCCTCCGATCCTAATTATAAGACACAAATTTGAACTTACTAGTATGAATGTGTGCTTTATAATTAGAACGCGAGGAATAGTAAACTACACAATTGGACAATTAGTCTATTTATACTGATCAATCACTAGCACATCACCCTGTGGATGTGGGACTTGGGATGTCAGGATGATTTCCGACTAAATGTTATAGCTGACAAAGAAATTTTCAAGTCTTTGGCTTCAGAGTCTAATCGGGAAGACTATCAAAGTATTCAGCTCACTTGGACAGTACCGATTAATATTTCTGAAAAGAATAATGATAAGTACAAGAAAAAATTGCAAGAAAAAATGACAAGAAAATAATCTCACCCATCTATTTTAAAAACTTTTTATACGGGGTTTAAACATTTAAAGTTATAGTCTAGTTTAGAAGTTTGACACATTATTCCTTGTAAATTTTCCTTGTCATTTTTTTTCTGTACGTATCATTATTCTTCTGAAAATTCTAATCAAGGACACTAGGGTTAATGGTTATATATTACTCTTCCAAACTCTGTTTGCCTCTTTAATTAATCCATAGGATTGGGCATTTTCTAGTAAGTTTAATGATATCTTTCTGCCATAATAATAATAATAAAAGTTATTAGCAGAACTAGTTTATTTAACTATATCATGGACGGTTTCTTTTTCTAAAGGAGAATGCGAGATATGGCCTTTTGATCTGAAAAGGGAAAAAAAAAATGAACGTGTACACTCTTTTATTTTCATTTTTCTTTTCTAGTATACTCTCTCAGGCCTTAATATTTAGAATGCGCACATTTAAATAAAATTTAATTATAATTTTGTGTCTTATAAATTGGACTGAAGAAATATACCAAATAATCGAAGAGGTTAGATGTTTACAAAACATATCAAAAAAAAAGAAAAAAAGAAAGAGAGAGTCCGAGGAAAGGATTAGATATTTTCATGAGGACAACCAACAAGAATTCGTAGCCTTTTGATCATTGTCTTAGTACATTGGACTTAATAATGTTAAGACAGTAGTAGAATGTCTTTGAAGGCTCAATCAATTGATGGGAATCAAATTAAACACCACCTTTTCTTTAATAAGAATGAACACTCGTTGGATTATGTTGTTGATTTGTAACTTAATATAGTTTGGTGGTCCTAAACTCCCCCTTTGATCGAATACGAATAAGGGGACAAGAATACAAATTTAATTTAAGTGAATTAACGTTAAAGTTTCTTGTCACATGAGGCTAATGAATGCAATCATTGTACTTGAGATTAAGGCCACCCAATCTTTGATATAAAGGCCTATCAGGAAGCCTTTTTGTTATTTAATTAAATAGATTATTACTGCAAGGGATGATTGATTAATAAATATTGATAAAGTTTAGGAAATCCAGTTTGGCCCTATTTGAAAGAATACTCAAACATATTTTAGGTCACCATAGCTACCTAATTATTTTGTTAAAACTAGTTACTTAATCAGTGACGGTCCAGAAAAATAGTTGACATTATAATTTATTATGAATCGTATAGTTAGTGATATATTTTACAAATTACAATATCGAATATTTTTGTGGAGACAAAGAATATATGTTTTATAAACTTAAAACATGTTTAAACTCACTCACGTAAATACGTCTTCACGAAACAACTACCAGGAACATCACCACGATTGCTATTTGGCTGGCTGGTGATGGTGATAATTTGTAGTAGAGATGATGGTTGAAAAGTTTGATTCCAAGGTTATATTTGTTGCAACAGAATCTGAATGCAGAAATTTTAGTATGATAATAAAATTTTAAGTCGACATTTTAGAGATTTAGTTGTCTAATTAAGGTCGGGTAGAGGTGTAAAGAAGGCTATTGCCTGCAGTCTACGTTTCCTAAGGCATTGGAAGGTTAGTTTTTACCCTACACTAATAATTTTCAACCCCTTTCATGAGAATCGACCATGCATCAAAAGAGAAAAGGGCTTGAGGTTATTCTACAATGCAATCCTCGATTCTCCATGGAAGTGGTAGGACGTTGGTCGTGTATTTATCATGCACTCTTTGAGTTTTAAAACAATCGTCTAGTTTATATTTTTATTTTACTACACCTCATATTAAAAGTAAAAATTTTTAAAAAGATAATTACTTTAAAATAGAGAGAATATTACTGCTATTATTATTTTGTGTCAAAAACATGTTCATTTGAGTTCCAAAACACCTTTGATTAAAAATCTAAACTAAAAAGTAAATTATAGTCTATCTGTCTCCAAAAAAAAAAGTTTCACATTAAATTTTGAAATTTCAACCATTTTTAGTAATGAGAACCATTTTTGTAGATTTTTTTTTTTAGACAAAAGGGAGTACCTAATATTATTCCAATTCATCTGTTGGGACAAAAGAATCCCACACCGGTGTCGTGAAGGATCTGTCACCTGTTTATAAGTGTCAAAGGCCACCCCACTCATTGCCAATTGGTTTTGAGACGGGAGCCCAAGGTGACTTTGAGATGGTATCAGAGCCCACGATCTGTGGACCTGTGATAACTATGGACCCGTGTGTGCGGGCTTGTGGACTGACCCGACAGTATATCCAGAGTGTGTACCCGTGTGTACGGGCTTGTTGACTCACCCAGCAGTATATCTGGTGAATTATGTTGTGTTGTGCAACTTCAATAAGCCAAATACCCCATTGGGCTTGAGGGAGGGTGTTGGGACAAAAGAATCCCACATCGGTGTCATGAAAGATCTGTCACCTGAGGGAGGGTGTTGGGACAAAAGAATCCCACATCGGTGTCGTGAAGGATCTGTCACCTGTTTATAAGTGCCAAAGGCCACCCCACTCATTGCCAATTGGTTTTGAGATAGGAGCCCAAGGTGACTTTGACATCATTTATTACTTTTTTTTTTTCAGGTAACATACTATCACACATATACTCAATTCTTGAGTGACAAGCTTCGGGTGCTTGAACTATTTATTATAAATATATACATATCATCAAATTTGCTACACCATAAACATTAAAAAAAACAAAAAAAAAAAAGGTAACCCAAAAAAGAATGACAAGACCACTATTATGGTGTACAAGTTGTACACCTGAGCATATGAGAATGTTTCTGTTTGGGAGGGATTCATTTGGTTTCAGTTTCATTCGAAAGTAGAAATTGTGGATGTTGAAGGCAGTGGACAGCTCTATTACCTGGCCAATGACCCCCAAAACTTATCCATTTCAATCCTTCAATCCTTCAATTTATGGTTACATATCAAAAACTCACACAAAAAAAAGGGAAGAAGGGACCTCCCAATGCTTCGCTTTTACATTAAATTTTGATGCCTCTGTAGTGGTTGGCATGTGTGGTTGGTTCCATTCCAATCATCTTTGAGGAGGGTTTTCTCAACCAAAGTATTGCTTATTTAAAAGCACAGTTCATTATTATTATGATGCTTCTTAATGGGTCCTCTCTTTTCTTCTATCTCTTTGAAGTTCTATTGACAATATATTAAGAGAATTTTCATCGATCTTTCCAACTGTGAAATCACATATCTTGAAGGGCTTTTTTTGGCTAAATTGTTTTTTTTGAAAACTCTGGCTGAGGGGACATAAAGAAGCTCACACTAATCACTTCCAAGCTGCAATTTGCAAGGAGATGTCGTGTTCTTGCATTATAGAGATCGAATAGACATATGTTTAGGAAAGAGCTATAATATTATAACCGATAAATACTTGATCCGGTTATTAAAGATGTAATTATCAGTTTAATTACAAAGAGATTCAGATTCTGATATAAGTGACATTGATTAAAATGTATGTTGAATAATTTTATCTTTTGAAACATATCCATCTAATTCGAATAGAATTAGTCGAATTGTAGCAAATGTTGTATTAACTTTGTCACAATATTTCATGCACCAAAAAAGAGAGGTATTGTAATCTAATTCATGCGGTAAGAAGGGATATTGTAACTTTGACTTTGTGGTACAAGTTTCGAACATTTTAAAACATTATTTGCTTAATTATGTGGGGGTGATACAGTCATCCATAATGATTTCTTAGATTAGTTTGTTAATCATATTCGCCCTCGTTTTCTTATTGATTAATCCAGCATAAAGTGCTTTAATGACCACTTTCTACAGTGTCAATGGACCACACTACACGTGTTTGCAAACTCTCACAATGCTTTTCCAAAAAAAAGAAAAAAAAAAAAGAAAAAGAAAACTAGAAATTGCTAGGGACTTGTACACCTAATTATATTTTTTGCACATTTGTGGGTCTTAATTACAATATGACATTTATGTGGCTAAAGATGCCTCAAATTTCATGTACTTCCTCCGTCCAAAACAAAAATAGTGTATGTAGAACTCTTTTTTTTTCAGAACAAAAAAATGACTTTAAGCGGTTCTTATATGGCATTGGAAGATATTGTTTACTTTACTTTCTTATATAGCATTGGAAATTTTTTTCTTAACAATTTGCAACAAACAGAACCTACAATCTTGTGCAAGAAGAAGATACTCTGCCACCTTTTCATCTCCTTTTTTCTTACCAGTTTGAACCAAACAAATACACTATAAAATATTGATCCACAAGGAGGACAATAAATACAAGTGTGTTCATTCATACATTTTAACCTAGCTAGGTGGAGTTCAACAAAAGATGGAATCAACTTATCACACTTACCGTGTATTAGTCGTGACTCGTGAATCATGTTTTATTCATAAAATAAAAACATCGTCACTATCTATCAATCATAATCTGTACTAATTTGAAATGCATATATTAATTTGAATAAAATGATGATGTTTCACTGATAAGACACGGTTACTACACTTACATCGGACATGACAGAGGGTATTGCTGGTATATTCATTTACAAGTCACCCAAGAACCGTCGTTAATGAGGCTTCAATTAGGACTGAATTGTAAAGAGCAGAGCTTTCACGAGGAGAATGTGTAAAACCTCCATAATTTGAAGGGGTTAAGTGAGCATAAACCTTACACTTTGAGGGTTATTTATATCCTAAACCAAGAATAGCCTTTTTACTCTTCATTCTGCTCATCAAGCCAACAAACAAAAAAACTGGAAAGATTTTTGCTGGGTTAGAGAGCTACTCTTAATTCAATGGATCATCATCCAGATGAGTTTAAGCACTTGAATACAATATCTCAAGCACATCCCGAGACAATGGACTTTCTGTCTAGTGCTTGGTGCAACTTTGCTGTTCATCAAGCTTTTCACCCTGAATCTGATCATCATCATCATCATCAGCTCCAACTACAAAAAGACCAATCTCTCATTCATCTGCATCATAACTCCTCCTTGAAGACCCTCGACCCTGTTTCTTCTTCCCCTTTCATGGTAAGCCAACCCAAAAGAGAAAAAGTTTAGTTCTTTTTTATTTGGTCTATAGCTATAGCACCTTTTTTGATCATTGTCCCAAGCTTAAAAACTTATTACTGATTGTGACATTTCAGAAAATAGACAATGACTTGAAGATGGACGATACTGACAATTTTGTGCCTCCATGGAAATCCAATGATCTAAAGGTAAGGAATATATCAACTACTTTTTGCAACCTTTTTAGTGCACTGAAATCTATATGAATTTGTGTATTTGACCCTCCCTTTTTTCTTCCCAATTGTTTTGTTTCTCTTTTAGTCATGGATATGGATGCAACAAGCAATGCATCCGGAGTTGAACTATAACAGCTATTTGAAGAAGAAATGGGTGAGTTTTTTTTTCTTTTTTGGGCAAAGTTTTGTTCAGGGCTATGATGGATGATTTGATGTAACAGTCTTTAATTAACATGGGATTTTTGGCATGCAGGCGCCATGGAAAATTGGACAGCCGCTTAAGAAAGTGCCAATCAAGAAATGGATAACAGAGATGAAGCAGAAGAGTAAAGAGGATAAGAGATTGCAGAGAGCTGAAGTTCATGCTGCAGTATCAGTTGCAGGTCTTGCTGCTGCTTTAGCCGCCATAGCTGCTGAAAATTCATCATCGAAAAAACACGACGACGATGACGATGAATCAACTAAGGCAACAAGGGACTCTGCTGTGGCCTCTGCAGCAGCACTGGTGGCTGCTCAATGCGCGAAAGTTGCCGAAGCCATGGGAGCAAAGAAAGAGCAACTCAGAAGTGTTATGGGAAATGCCATGTCAGGGACCAGTGCTAGTGATATCATAACACTCACAGCTGCAGCTACAACATGTAAGTTGATTGAATTGGAAATTTTCTTTAAATGGAGAATAATTAATTTCTTAATGATGTCTTTTTTTTTTATTTTGATGTTGATACTATAGCATTAAGGGGAGCTGCAACTCTGAAAGTAAGAGCAGGGTACAAGAACAAACTGATCAATGGAGGAGCACCTGTGCTGCCTATTGAATTAGATAACACTGATTCGAATTTCGACTTCGAAAATTATAGGGCAGTTATGGCAAAGGGTGCTCAACTATACTTGGAGATGCAAGATGGTAATACATGTGCTCTGTTTTTCCATTTATATATGTGCTCTGTTGTCTTGAGGTCTCACTAGAGGGTAGAAATTCTAGGAAAAAATGTTGGGGTTTTTCTTTTCCTCTAATGTGATTTTACTTGTAGATCAATCTGTTGTTGTTCTTATGTTTTGGTGTGGCTCAAAATTTGGAACAGGAAAACGCATCTTCAGGTCCGTGTCGGTCATCCTCAACAGAGAAGCCAAGGTACAAATACAATTAGAACTCATATTTTGGGACGGAAAAGCAATCAGTACAGCATGATATGTCAAACATAGAACTTAATTATGGAAGCCCTAAAGAAAAACCATATAGTTAAACCTAAATGGCTGTTAAAAAACTGAATGAAACATTGGAAAACTTGCAATATGCAACTTTTCAACTCCTTTTTTGTTCATTCCCACCAGGTCATTGTCAGAATAAGGAAGCTTAATTTACTCAATGCTTTTTCAAGACCACAGGAAAGTAAGTACCCTCAGCTACAAAATTTGGATTTCTTAATTCCCCTTTGCAACTTTAACTTTGTACTCTGATCTTAAACTGAAGGTACCTTTAACAGTACTTCTAAAGTTCTGTGATGCTATATACTTGCAACCCCGACTTCTGAAATGAGCACGAGACACTAACACCATGATCACTTTTGTTGGACTAGGTATCGTGCAAGATCTGTATGGTGAACTGTACAAGGAATCAGAATCTGGAGGAAGCCAAGCTACTACCTGCTATCTTCTTGTGCTGAAGACAAATAAAGGGATGCTCAAGCTGGACATGATTGATGATCACCAACGTTACAGGACATGGTCCATGACAATAAATCATATGCTCACTCTCTCCTCTGTTACCAAATATGAACTTCAATTCTACAAAGTCTAAAATTTAAGGTTTAAAAAACCAGTCCATGTTTGATTCACAGTGTTTGTACTTCTAATTTTCTTTTATGTATGTACTTTAAAAGGAGAAAAGTATCGAACTTTCTTGTGCCATGTAATCTTTTTTCAGACTTTTACATCAAGATATTGTTAATTGCTTGCATCAAGGGTAGTTAAAAAATGTTCCGACCACCATGGCAAAAAGATGGTAAACTTAATGCTATGATCAGTATATACATCATCTGATTCTCGTAAACTTACAAGCTGTATACTGTAGAGAAAGAATCATTTGCTATGGTACAAATATGACTTCAAATGGAGGAGACGTATAAGAAAAATTCATTCCAATATATAACAAATTTACAAGTCATATGTACTAGGAAGACCTGTCCACAACAGAAGCCTTCTCGGTCGATCCAAAAATCTAGCTTGCCACGCAGGCTCTTCGTTCTCAAGAGTAAAACCACTTTTTATGTATAGATTTTTTGCAGGCTCATTATCAACAGCAACATGGACATACAAATCACTTATTCCTGAAAATTTTTAAAGGCTGACATTTATTTCTTCATGGAGCTGAACTCAATTGAAAGATATGCTAGTAGAAGAAGAAGCAAAATGGAATTCCCAAAGAATAAAACCTTGCTTGAAATTCAAAACGAAATACTCTCTCAGATATCATGTTTCTTAGCAAAATAATCAGAAAATCGGTTAGTCCACCAAACAGGAGAGGAGATATACTATACAGTTAAATAGCACCGACAAACTGTTACTTGCAACTAAGAAGTGCTTTTGGTAGTTCAGTTTATCATTGCAACTTGGAAGCCAAATTCAGTAGGCTAATTTTTCCAGGTGTGAATGACAATTTCTTTGCATTAAAATCCTATTTCTGATCTTATTAAGGCAAACTTTGTGAAGAAAAATACGCCAATAGTTTTACAGGCAGAATCTTCAGAAAGGAGAGAGAGAAAGAAATAGGAGAAAAGAGAAATTACCCCACTCTTCAGCAACCAACTTTGCCTTAGAAATGAGGTCAGAGCCTAGGCCATTTCTTTGCAGTTCCTGGGCAACACAAACGTTGCTGAGATAGGCCCTTGCAAAATCTGCTCCAATTCCCTGCAGTATGTATCATAGCAATAATATGCATCGGGATGAAATTTGACAATGCTGGAAGCAGAACGCAATAAGCATGAATACCTTTGGCTTCATCCCAGCAATTTCATCAGGAAGTCTGATACACTGGTTGATATCCAAGGTCCCAACAACTACTCTTTCTTCTTCCCCATCAGAAAACTATTCATCATTCAAATACATAGTGAAAAAGATTACTAAAGGAGCAAGAAATAAAAACATCATCTTTCGCAGCTACGTACAGATTTGAATTTCAAAACACCGAGCAGAAATTTATGAAATTCCCTCATTGCAGAAAAGTGATAAATTTATTTTCACATACTCAAAAGACATGCAAAACAACAAATTTGCCCTTAAAATTATCTACCTGGGGAAAGATTTCTTCCAATCATTCTCCGAACTGACGCAATATAGCATGTGTCACGTTGGGAAATTTTGGTTCAGTATATCCTTCATTAATGCTCTCAAAATATAGCTACGGTGCAGCACTCACATTCCGATTACATAAGATGATCGTTAGGTTTATACAGGAAACTTCATAGAGTTTCAATTTGATGAGATGATCTTCTAAAATATATGAGAGACTTCACCAAACAAAAATACACAAATCCTTGCATCCTTAACCAGCCACTGGATTGATCATATAACATGTGTATATCCTTACAATAGCAACCCTCCAAATCAGGATGCCCATGCGAATGTTTCCATTCAAAGTGTTAACAAATAATAAAACCTGATACTAACTCATCTAATTTACAAACTTAATTATGATCTCAAATACAAGCTCCACAAACAAACCCCCATTAAGTGGCCAAAAGACACTGGAGATGGAAGTTGTAATATCCAACAATAGGCAGCTGAACATTCATGCAGACTGATGAACATGAAAAAGGCCAGGACTGATGGAATAATCAACAATAAGTAAACGTAAGGAGAAAAAAATGAAACTTAACCTTGCAGTTGTTGCTTAAATCATCGGAAATGCTTGTTACTTGAGACAATGGTAACGTAGCATCAATGCAAGAGACCTTCTTAAAGCCCACCCTAACCCCTGCAACACGTTCCTTTAGGGCTTCAAATTCACGCTCGGCCAAGTATTTCTTGTGATCCTAAGAGAACTTGACAAGGAGAACATACCATCAGCATTAAAGAGGTAGTGTTCAAGTATCCAGGCAAAAGACACATGCCAAATTAGTAAAAAGGGTTCTTTTATCGGAAAGACTAGTCTAAAATCTCCTACCGTTGAGGTTCAGACATAACCAATTTGTAATATTTTTCAAAATGAGACAGTTAGATCATGTTGCCATCCATAGGAAATATAATTTCAACAAAACGCCAATAAAAATTCATCCAAGTGTGGAATACTTACATCTTCGGACAAAATTATTTCACCATAGAAGTTAACAATACATCATCTTAACTGTTTGGAATAGCAAGCAACACAAAATCAGCCATCGCAGCAATAAAATACAAGAAGAATTGAACCATGCTTCACATCATCAACTACTTTCGTGCTTAAGGTAACAAAATTCAAATCCTAGGAAATTGTTTCCAACTAACTAAAAAAAATATCAAATGGGGATGAAATCATAGCCCAAAAACTACTAAAACATTGATCAATTCTTAACCCAAAGAGTTCACCAAAGGGAGAAAAAACAAAGCCAAAACAATAAATACGGCAGTCTAATAAATGAGGCGCATCATACTGACTTGGATTCCAAAAGAGTCGTCTTCGAAGTTGTAGAAACAGCGGACACGGAGACAAGCTGCAGCCCAGAGCTCAGCTTCAGATATGCCCACCGATAATCGAAGCAAGGACTTGTCAATTCTTGCTCTCTGAGCTGTTGAAGTCGCCGGCGGTAGCTGTTGGTTGTAAAGTTGAGAAGTAATAGTGAGTGAGTAAATTGAAGGGGGAGTAGAACAGTGGCGATAGGTGGAGGAGATGAAGGCGGCGGCGGGGGTGGCGGGGTAGGAAGGGCGGTGACACGGTGGCGCTAGGATAGCCATTTCTTCTTTTTCTTCTTAAGATTTTGCTAACCCAAAAAAAATAAAACCAACCGTAATTTGAACGAAACTCCACCGGTCGGACCGAAATCGGTCAAATTAGTCAAACTTTTAGTGAATATTGGGCTGGGCCATTACACAATTGGGTTTGTGGACATGGGTTTTAGATTCTTTTGATATCCACTAATTTGTGCAGGAAAGTCCACAATTCCTAATCAAAAATTTGTTCCTTTCAAAAGGTGTTAGTTGTGAATGATGTGCTGATTTTTTTATTTTTTTTTTTTCATATTTGCAGGGTGTCTACCGTCGGCAACAGTGATAATCCCCCTTGCTGAATGTAAGTACCTTAATGGATGGAACAACTGGCCAAAGTATTTAAGGTTGCTCCATACTCATGGCGATATTCGAACCCTCGACCTATAATTAAGGGTGAAGGAGGTTCTTCACTCCATCACAACCACTTTGGTTATGATATCCTGATTTAATGGTAAAATCAATTTCAATCCCCACTCCAATAAAAAGTGAAGGGGACTTTACCTTACTCATTGACACCAAAATTGCAGTGACCTGAGTTTTGCTAATTGCAAATAAATGTAACGAAATCGTGTCAAAGAAAAAGTAACATGTATGACAACAATCATAATCGTACACATTTTAATCTATGACTTATACTATAATTGCAATGAAATCTATTTTTAATGGTTGGAGTCAATATATCATAATGAAATGTGAGTTGTTTATTGTCAAATAATTTGGGACGACTAAACAATTGTTTGTACGTTTTTTTAGAACTTGTTATCAAATAAATTCACTATTCTCCCATATATCATGTCAAATATTAGAGACTAGATTGGACAGTTTCGATAGATGTAGAAGAATCACATCAACGGAATAGCCAACTTAAAGGAGTACTTAGGAGCCAGGGAGTCACACTGTCACCCCCCAGAAAATGAAAATGAGTTATGTATCACATGGTACCCAATTTTCATGTCCCGTCTAAAAATGATTTTGAAGAAATGAATAATAAATACAATAATTGTTTAGGGACGGAAAAAAATAATGATGTAAATTGTTACTACATTCACAAATTTCTATTTTATTATTATTATTTTTTTGATTGATTTGAACTTTTATCATATGGGTCAATTACTGTAGAGTTGCACAAATTTGGTCATAGTACTGCATGGCCATCAGAGAGCTTTAAATGCACATATACACATATAATCCAAGCAGTTTGGCGATCACATGCAAACAGACAGAGTACTCTCCCACTCAGTATATGCGTAACGTTTGTGTAAGTGAATTTATTCCTGTGTCTTTATATTACGTGAAAGGGGGTCCAATAAATCACATTTATATGCACAACCAAAAGAGAGAATATGTGAATATATGTTTATCAGAGATGATGAATGAACAAGAAAATAGACAGTAAAAAAGCACTGATTGATGATGGATGGATGGATTGACTATGTATTGTCACATCCTCGAATTTTATTTTTTTTTTCAAACTGGTGATCATGATTATGATATTCAGGGTTCAATGAAAAATCCCCACCTCCACTAGAAAGAGAAGAAAATAACAAAATTATTAAAAAAAAAAAAAAAAGTTTGAACCAATGTTTTGCAGTTGTATACAGCCTGCTGTTTATGTATGGGAAAATTTGGTTATATTGGAGATGCATTGGTTGAATATTTGTGTTTCTTGTATGGCGATGATGATTAGGGTTGGGATTCCCTGGGCTCTCATTGAATCTGTAACTCGGGTTTTTGTGTAGAGCGATTCATTAGCTTCCTAATTCGGTTTGTTGGATGGTATTGAGCAAGGAGCTCGCTCAATTGGGATTGTTCAAGTAATTCATCTTGATTGATTGAGTGTAAAAAAACGTTTAGTGGTACTAATTCCAGTTAATGGATCATGTGTCTGGTTTAGTAGTACGAGTTATAACGAATTCAGTGTGAACTATTATTTTTGTTAGACGAATATATTGAGTCTAAATATCATCCATAATGCTGTTGATGATTTTTTTTTTTGAGTACAAAAAATTCTGAGAGAAGGTACTGTTACCATGCTGGTGTATGTGAGCATAGTGATAGGATGTCCTTGTTGATGAATAGTGAGGAATAATTGCCTATATACCAAGTTCCAATCCACCAATTTTGTTCACTTTTGAAGCTCTTTGAGAAGCTCTGAACTAGGTAAAAACTGAAGCAACAAATCCAATTTTTTTCCCCCTACTCTGAACTCTAAAGTCTCTGAATTATAAACCCACAGAGACAACACATGCTATTTACAAAGTACTGAAATCACAACATCTCTGATAATCCCACAAAAAACAATAGTCAATGTTTGTTTGAGTTGCAATTTTGATTTTTATTACAAACCAAACCAAAATCCTCACAGTATCTTTTATTTGGCAGTGTGCAGTCTGTGTAACATCAGACTATTCAATATTCATCACAGAAGCTGAATCCAAAAAACTTGAAAAACAGAGTCCCTTCTGAGTTGGACTTACCTTCATTTCCTTCTTATTTTTAAGCCCCCCTTCTGCTATAGGGACTTTTTACGGAGTGCTGATTTCTATACAATCGTCAATTGGATCAAAATGAACTAATTATGTACTCCCTCCGTCCCATAATTATTGTCATTTTTAGTTCAAATTATACTAAAAGTGAAATCTCAAACTGGACAATAATTTTGAGACAGAGGGAGTACCAGATATTTTGAATCTTATTTTCCATACCACTAACATTATTCCTTTTATGCATCTTCAATACACCAATTCACTTAGCAGATTATTCTAATGTGTATGGCAAAAACTACTAGTCAAAAGAAAGAATTAAATGAGATGGGTGCATAGTAGAAGAGAATGAGAGCGATATTTGCATGGGATGATCATCTCCTTTCCCTTTATTTCACATTGAATTTAGTAATCCTCTTCATTAATGGTGGACCATTCACTGTTGCAATCTTCTCCACCATTTTGTCCAAAACCTTACCAAAAAAAAATCCCAGTCCCTAGGCCTCGTTTAGTCGTTTCCCTTGTTAAATTATGCTACTAGCATTTAATTAACATAACTTGGAAGGTGGAGAAAAAAAAAAAGTTGTATGGCATTGGCAGATAGCTCTGCTCAAAAAAAAAAAAAAAAAAAAAATAGTTGCAGAATGCAGGGGGGGTTTGAGTGTGTTCAGTCACATTACTTGTTATACTTACCCTCCCCCTCCCCCTCTCTGCTTTTTGTACTTTTCCCCCCATTAAAACAGAGTTTGAAAATTCAATGCAAGTTTTGTTTGTACTTTGTACCCATTAGAGAGATAGAGCTAGCTTTCTAGCACTAGTATTCTCTCCTGTTTTGGTGTTTTCCAACTCTCCTCTTTTTCTTTTTCACAGAGCTCTCAATTTGATCATTTGGGGTGTCACTTGTCAGTCCTCATTTTTTATTTTTTTTATTGTTCTTGTTCATCTGTCTTTTTGGCCTATATAAAGCCACAAAACCATCCCTTCAAAAGGGCATCTTTCACTTCATTTTGGTGCCTACTTCCATCACTTCAAAACACACACTCAACCAACCCATTCTGATAAGCATCTTTTCTTCAAGCTATCTAGCTCTTCAAAGTTCGTTAATGTCTTCAGTCTCTGTCTTTTCAATCTCTTCCAGAGACAGCAATTTAGTAACAACAACCTTGAGTTTTCATAAACCCTTCTTCACAATGAAGCCCATCTACATGAATTTGATGAATTTCACAAGAAGAAATGACGGGCTATGCAGATTATGTTTTTGTAAACAGAAGATGAAGTGTCTCTAATTCGTTTGATGGTGCTATCCTACTTGAGCTTTTCTGTTTTTTTTTTTATTTTTATTTTTTGTTACAAGGTGTTTGGTATGGACTTTTTGGATTAGTGATTTTGAAGGTTTTTTCTTCTTGACCTTGCAAGGCTTTCAAATCACTGTACTCACCTTGTTTTGCTATTTTTTCGTGCTCATTTGATTCAAACCTCCCATCTTCTCTGTTTTGTGTTATTCCTCCTGAGCTTCTGGTTATTGCTTTGACCTCCTGTACACCATCTTGCATGGTTCTGTTTTGATGTTTTTCGTGCCATTGAAATTCGATCAAGTTTATCTGTATTATATTTTGCTTCATTAAGCGAGTTAATTGTCATTTCTTCGTATGTAATAACTCTAATATCTTCATATAGTTGTTAGTAGTTCTAACCACTACATTGTGTAAATTCTGAGTAAGGATTTCGCTAACTTACCTATATGTTTTTCCTCCCCCTGAAGAGACAGAAACAAGAAGGTATTGGAAGTTCGATACCACTTTATTGTGGATTTTTTCAGAGAAAATTCTTAAGCGAAAAAACGTTAGTTTGTTTATTACAAGTTTTAGAGAATTGTGTATTGGCAATCCTTCAGGAACTTATGTAAAGCAAAGCTTTGATTATTTGTAACATTTTGTTCGGTATATATATATACATATAAGAAAAGAGCTTTCGCTATGTATTTATTGGCTGTTGTAATCAATCAAGAGCACAACCGTATTAAGAGATATGTTTATCATCTTTAACTTCCATCTTTACGTACTGAGGTGAATTAGCATGGATCTTTCTGTTTTTTCTTTTTTAAATTAATTACTCTTTGTCATTCTTATACTAGTATAGTTTAGAATTTTCATTTATAATACAAATTGGATTAGAAATGAAATTATTTAATAGAATGTATAGAAGTTGTAATAATAAAGGAACTATGCATTTAAGATTTTTCATTTATAATACAAAAAATTGTAGTATTAGAAATGAAAATTTTGAAGAGGCAATCATTTTGGGACATGAGTTGTTGCATTGAAGGAATTATTACAAAGCTCAAGTAAACTTTAACGCGTACAATCAGCACGTGAGTAACACTGGCAGCGAGTTTCATCCACTGTTTGAACTTATTGAGTACATCCTCTTCTAATCTGTAAAGATCAATTGTTCTATTGTCCCGTTGCAGTGACGGATTTAAGGGGGTCAGGGTGGTCGATCGACCCCGGCTGACTGGATTTGGCCAAAATTTTTTTTAATAGGGTGTCCGTTATTTGAAATTTTTTCAGTTCGACCCTCCGGTGACGGTTGAATAATCTTATTTTCGATTCCGCGATTTGAAAATTCTCGTTCCGTCACTATTCCATTGTAAAGTCAAAATGGTATTTTCCCGTCCAATGTTATTAAGATATTTTATTTAGTGTACTCTCGTTGTTTGAAAGTGATTGTTTGTATTTAAATTTTTTATTTCAGTAAAATTTATTTATTTATATAATTTTGTTGCATGTTTACAAAATTGGTAAAGGGAGTGATGAAAAGAGAAGTAATCAAAATGTACAATTCAAGGGAAGTGTATTTAAACAAATTAGCAGTTTAAATGAAACCCTAATCCAAAGAAAAAACCCAAATTCATTCAATAAGTAAAAAAAAAAACAAAAAAGAAAAACTAGGAATTCGACAGAATCGAACTAAAATCAGGAAATGGAATACTCCCTTTGATTCTAATTATAATATACAAATTAATATTTAAATTAATTTAAATTTGTGCCTTACAATTAAACTGAAGGGATCCAGTGAAGAGATTCACCTTGCCGGAAGCTTGAGGTGCTCTTTCTCAGATCAATAGTATGGAGGTTGTTCTCGTTGGCGAAGAGTATGAGAGAAGAGGGGGACGGTTTTTTTTTTTAAAAAAAAAAAATTTTACTTGTTTATTTATTTTGAAATAGAGGGGGTAGGTTTGAAAAATCGGTATCCAGGAAATGATTTAATAATGATTGAGAGGTTTCCAACCTTTATTATATAATGACTTGGGAACCACAGTTAAAAAGATTACAACTCTGGATTAACATTCCAGTCAAACTAATTTGAAACATCAAGAAACACACACACACACACACACACACAATGATACACTATTTTTGTATATTAATGAGTAAGTGTTAGGATTTATGTTGGTAGATTTTGTGTGTTAGACAAGCTGGAAGGATTGAAGGTGTAATATGACATTATTCTAACACAAGCAATGAGACCAGAACAATGAGTATCATTAACATTTTGAGACCAATTTATGAGATCACACCAAAACAAAATCGGACCTTGCTCTTTTTAACGTACAAAACACAAAATTCCCCTTTCTTTCTCATTTCTGGGTGAAAGTTACATGTGAACAATCTCTTTTGTACAGTATATACAAACCAAAAGATTGGACCAATCAACTTAAATGTACCAAAAGAACATTAATTTTCTATTTACTGGACCAAAAGATTGGGTGGTAAATGTACCAGCATCATCAAGGTGAAACCAATCAACTTAAAGATGCTAGGGTCCTGTAAATCAGAGTGGTTAAATAAAATAAACCAAAAATAATAATAATAATAAAATCACGTTTGGTGCTGTGTAAATATCAGTTCTATTTTCAGCAACCGCTTTCAGTTGCTACGCATTGATTGAAAGAACAGAACCAATTTCTGCCCTCAGCTTGAGAAGTAGAACGCCGAAAGCTTAGTCTTGAACACCGAACCAATTGTTCCCTCACACTGCGATCGCTCCTTGGAACCAAAGAAGGCCTTGTATCTGGTGTACCCATACAAAGGCCAGGGCTAAATCTCATTGATGGAAACCTTTGGCAGCTTAAGGAGCGGAAAGAAGAGCCGAGAGGGCTAATTCCAACACAACCAGGATCAGGCTTACAGAATGGTGTTTCCATAGAAGAGAGTTCTGAAGCATCAGCTGTACAGGCACAGAAGGGAAGGGATATACTAGTTCGAGGATTTTCTTTCACTATTGGCTTTGTGCCCTTGAGTTTAACAAATGAAACTATCCCCTGCCGGCAAAGAGGGCAAGCAATTGAACCTGGGGGGCCATGAGCCACCGCTGAGGACCGATTAGTGGAACACAGGTACAAGGCGCATTGAGTGCAGAATTCATGAAAACATCCTGCACGATCGGGGAATTCGTGGATTAATGATGCAGTAAAACTTTTGCAATATTTCACAATCTGAAGTAAAACTGCAATTGAATTTCCGGGAGCAGCTACAATGCTAAAGGAGAAATAAAATTTTCTATGTCCTATTACAGTTAAAAGAACTTGATCGAAGGAAAAGGAGTGTTCAGTGAAGAGAGATACAAGAATACACACACATATTTGTTGACAGAAAGTTTACCCAATTGATGTGAGAAAAGGTGGATATGACTTTACAGTTTTGTTACACAAGGATGGCACCTAAGTCTCGAGCAGTGAATATTTAGGAAAGGGAAAATACTACCAGTCTAAACTGGCAGACCACTTACAACAGAACAGAACAGCTCACTGGTTGCAAACATTATCAGCCAAAATGTTTCAAGAAATGATTTCACATGAATTTGCATGGCAGAATTTAAGCATAGGGGTGAAGAATTCTCTCTTGTTAGTGTTTCATACGGTTCACCTCCAATTTTCATCTCTTTCAACAAATAATGTGTTGGATTAAATTGTCTCATCATGAGAACCCAAGCATGCAAGTTTCCAGTAGCATACCTTCTGCAGCGACTGTACACTTTCTTTCCAAGCAAACAACACATGGATCCACACGCGTGGTATGTGAGTCGCAGCTTTTCCATCCACATTCTCTGTAAATTAGTAACAAAGAACTATTACCATTGATGCGTCTTTCTTTTCCAAATCCAAAATTTCAGCAAACATACATCAAACAACAAGCCTTCATCCCACTACGTGTGGTCAAACATTACAAGAAAAATTGTGAGCTAAATAATGTTGGAAATTTAAAAGAAAGAATCATTCACACTAGTTAGTTTCCGACTTTTTATCATGTCAGTTTCTTAACTAGGTTAATTCAATTCTATAGAACATATTGCAATGGAACATTTCATTGTGAAATTGTCGAGGGCACATAAGCCAAGTAACAGACTCATACATTGTCCCACTCTCATCCCTCTTCATTCTCTAAATTTTCCATAAAGCACATTACACACTGGTGGATAAAGAGAAAGGAAAGAATTAAGAGCTAAACTACCAAACAGCAGTTCATAACTGTAAGTAAAAAGAGTCAGGGAACTACTACTCATCTGATGGATAGAATAAATGACTTAAAATTACTATAACAGAAACACTTCACACGAGAAATTTATTTTTAAACCCCCAATCATTCCATAAATTAACATAAGAAATGCAAGCTAAAAGGTGGCAATGAATCAAGTGTGCACACGTAAAGTTAATAGCATAACATTCATATAATCACGAATCACACTTGAAGACAAGTTATAACCTTCAGAAACCAGTTATATTTCAAGGTCATGGAGATACATGAAGACAACTACATAAGAGCACCAATAAGTGAAGACATCAAGGTTGGTATTATTGTTTACCTAGCTATATTTACAATGCTCATAAGAGGGAGACACAGATACGGGGAAGGTTGAAGTTGAGGCTGTCCTTCTGGTTGCGTCTTCAGAATCTCCTCAAGCCAGTCTCTATGCCATGAGTGAGCTACCATCAGAGGAGTCCACCTACCCATGAACAACAGTGAGGAATTAAAAAGAAGAATAAATTAAATCATTTACTGGTACCAGAACCCACATGAAAAGTAAATATTTGAATTTGTAAAATCTAATGAACTTTGTTCCATACAGGAGCTATCTGCAGAATGTTTCCGTTGAAGAGTGGGTGTCAAAATTGTGAAGCTCGTAAAATTACTAAGAGATAATGACCTAGAAAGTTGTCACATTAGATCCACAAGTTCATTGAGGTTTGGTACAGCAAAGATGATCTACCCAAGCCAGAATGATACTTTATATAGCATTTGTTAATTCAATCACAATAGAATAGAGGTTCTGTATGGACAGGTAATACGACCAGGATAAATGGAAGCATTAAGAAAAGTCAAATTACAGCATCAAACATTTGCAGAGGAGATTTCTGTAAGGAGAAAAGCAAGCGACATATGTTACAATTGAAAACATATAAAATCTTATCATCTTTACTGTCATTTATAATTTAAGAATTTAAGAAAGAATTTCATGTCAGCTAAGCCCAAATAAGGATGGAAAATATCCATAAAGCTCTGGAACCTCCCTATACATACCCATTGGCATTTGTTGTCGTGAGACTTGCCCCTCTGGCGATCAAAAGCTGAAATACAGCGAAATTAGAATTTGAAATCTCTCATTTGATATCCAAGGAAGAAATTCCAGGCTTCACAAAAATTACCTGACAACATTGTGCATTACCCCCACAAGCAGCATAATGTAGTGGAGTGCTTCCAGCACCTGCATAACCAATCATGTTCCCATAGTTAAAGACACTGGAAGAGGAAAATCTAAAAAACAATAGTAATAAAAAGAAAATAGAAAAGAAGAAGAACCATTTGCAAGTTTACTTTCTCAGTGCCATCAACATTAAAAGCTACCTTCACCCAAAAAGACCGTCATTTTGGTTAACACCCGCATGTGTGGGCCAGACTAGGGTTCAATAATAACCTTCACAAACTTACCATATATGTTTGCAAGAGGCTATTTATGCAAATTGAACTAATTCCCTCGAGTAAGATGGTAACAGCTCCTAAAGCAGCACCATTGGCTTAATATTTTTGCAAAACCTCAACTTAAAAGGTTTATAAGGGGTATGTAATCATATTTGTCTGTCTGTGAGACCTTTCATATCTCAGTGCACAATGCAACACTGTTCTTCATATTATACAAGATAAAAATGTTAAGGTCTATAGTCTTAATGAGACCAATGCTTCCTGAAAGGGAGCAAGTATGGCAGACGTTTACAAATTAGGTTCTCCAATTGCTTAAGTGACATTCGTAAATTTGTTCAAATCCCCTTTTCCACCCATTAAATTGCTGCTTCTTCTATTAGCAAAATTTGCAAATCCCCTTGGTGACAAAGCAAATAGCAAAGTTAAGACGAAACGAGAACAGAATAAGAAACTGAGATAGCTGTGTTACCTATCAAATCAATTGTAGTCCCGTCCTCCACAGTAATATCACTTACAGAAGCTCCCAAGTCCAGAAGTAGTTGAACGGTTTCACTGTGTCCGTTCAGAGCAGCCATGTGCAGGGCTGTGATGCCTCCATCAGCAGGTTTATTGATCACCTGATAGAGTGCACTGATAACACACATTGAGATAATTAGCATACACAAGCAGAAAGTGGACCGTGTAAACACAAGAAATTGCGTGATATGGGCTTACTCTTCATCAAATTCCGAAATTGATTCTTCATTTCTCAACCCTTTCAGGAAAATGCTGCTAAAAGTAGGAATGCTAGGAATGTAGTCAGCAAGGAGAAGCCGAATGCATTGAGAATGCCCATTCAGAGCAGCTAGGTGAAGTGCTGTACCCCCATTCAGATAATCAGCTTTGTGAATCTAAAATTCAACACAGGCAATAATTTTGAATATCTCAAACAGAAAGAGATTCAAAAACTGAATTAACACCGTCAAAATCAGGGGAACAATACCGAGGAGAACATTGTCATACATTAGCTTTGTAAATGATCAAAGTCTGAACAACCTCCCAATGACCATACTGACAGGCTTGCATCAATGCAGTCTGTTCACCAAATAGATAACACAGATTTTTTACTTCATCAATCAGATAGAATACTTGGCTTGAAAAGAAAAAGCTTTGTTTTTTTTTTTGGAAGAAAATGTGTAACACGCTGTACTGATTCTATGATTCATCAGTGGAAGTGTAAAAAGTGAAACATATGTGGTGGTAACGAAAAGATTTTACCTGCCCACGATAGTTCCTGAGATTAATATCCACTCCAGAGTCAATCAGAAGAGCTACAATCTAAAGATTAAAAAACGAATATCAATTAACATGGGATAAAATTCAATGCGGCAAGGTGAACTATCAACAATAGTCAGTCAGAATCACATGTCCAGTTTTCTGTATAAACATAAGCTATTTCTAATGTACCTCATGATGGCCTTGAGCTGCAGAATAGTGGAGGGGGGAATTCCGAACCCCAAAGGTGGAATATCTTACAAGGCGAGGGTTATAATCCAACAAAGCCTTTGCTTCCTGAAGATCACCATCTCTGGCAGCAGAGACTAGCCTCTCTCCAGATGCAGAACAACCAAAGGAATTCCCCACCAAACTCAGAAACCTCATACTCATCAATTAAGACCTTAATTTCTCAAAAACAGATTGATCGCATGATGCCCCACGTGCATACCAAATTAGCCGATATAAACTCAAAATTTCCGGAAACTCATTGCAGTCATCTTATAAGTTTATAGGGAAGGGACAAGCTTGAGCTTCTCCTTCCAATCAGATTCGTGGTATTCTACCAAACTATGAACAACCCACAACAAAACTTCACTTACACAAGGATCCCACAAAATTTCTGCCTAAGCGTCAATTCTCACTTAACTATGACGACGAATCACAGGGTAGCTTCTTCAAGAGGAAAAAACTAGATGATCTTTTCAAACTCCAGCAAACCCCCAATCTCATTCTCCAACTTGATCATTGTATAAGCTTTATTATGTATGCCTCTATGCCTTGATGGTGACAACTTCATACAAACAATAGAAATGACCCTTTCCAATCAAAGAACCACCAAAACGAGAAGTAAAACATACGAATGCAAACCTGAGCAGATAAGAAAAAAACAAAGCCAAGCAACATATTAATGAATAGATAAAAAAGAATAAGAATTTGGTCAACAATTGAAGGTTTTAGACCCAAGAATTAAACGTTTCTTCGCATCTTCAAAAGCCAGACAAAAACAACAACCATAGAAATGTGTTTCTGAGACAACCCACCTGAAAGTTTCGATATTCCCGGGAAATACAGAACAAGTTTTGACGCGTCCCAGCTCCAGAATTTCCCTGAAATTCAAGAATATCCAATACCAGGGTCCAAATTCTTCAGGGAAATTTCCAGAATAAAAAGAGAGAAAGATGAGAACCCAGATCACATATTTAACAAAAAACAAGCTGAAAATCCTATAACGAGTTTTCAGTCACGATCACAGCCTCCGTTAGAGAGGAGGAAATATGCCCAATAAAAGACGGACGGAGGTAAACAGACAATGATCCCCCTAGAATCACTGTCTTTGCCAATTTTTTTTGTTTAGATAAACTCACAAAAAAAAAAACTGTCTCAAATGAGGTGGAAATTAGCTGAAAAATTCCCCCTTTTTCAACAAATAACCTTTCTTTGTGCTCTTAATAATAAAAAAAAAAAGTGGAAAAAAGAGGTTGGTTTATATAACTAAGAAATTAAAAAAAGAAATAAAGGGTACGATTGAGGGGAATATAGAAATGGAAGAATGAGAATGTGGGAAGGACGGGGCAGCGAGGTTCTCGGCAAAAGCTCTTTTCTTTCTTTCAATATAAGGACAACAAAAGGAGGAAGAAGAAGCCTGCAAACAAAAGCGTGCAATTCATCATCATCATCATCAGCATCATTATTGAGTATTATTAAATTCTTGTAACTAAGCGTTTAACATTTGTTTCAGACACTAATGGTGGTCAAGTGGGTTGATTGATCTGTTTTGGAAGTAAAGTAAATTTTAATTTTGATCTATCTTGATTTGGGGAAGTCATTGTCAACTCCTTTTCTTTCTTTCTTGTCAGTGTCTCTCTCCTCGGAGAATTTAATGGCCAGCCCTTCAGCCTCTTTTGCTTTGCTCACTTTCATTTCCCACATTTTATAATAAGGTTGCCAGGTGGGATGTGACTATGAATTCTGCAAATTTATGAGTTACTTCAATCTTTAGAAAATTTATTAGAGTTTATTGAATATCTTTTACCCACACAGTAGTATAGTGGGTCTTTTCCCTAAAAAATTTAATTAAAACAAAGGTGGACAAATTTAAATTTTTCAGAATATTTGTGGACATGAATATATCCCACGGATTTCCGAAATCCGAGTTATAATTAAAATTGAGAACTCGGATTTCCGAAATCCGAGTTTACCTCGGATTCGGATAATTAATTTTAGTTTTAATTAAAATGAATTCGGATTTTCAAAATCCGTTTTCTATTAAATTCGGATTTCCGAAATCCGAGTTTACCTCGGATTCGGATTTTTGAAATCCGAAGGATATAGATTTGTCCACAAAAATTTCAAAAAAATTAATTTGGTCTACCTTTTTTTAAAGAAAATTGTTTAGGTCAAAAACTCGTAGTAAATCAGTGTACAACTAATACTCAATTACGTGAAATTAAAACTAGAGCTGGGAAAAAAACCACGAACTTACTACCCATCCAAATCTATTGGACTTTAGTCCATAAAAGTCCATCCATTTAAAATGTTAGACTTAAATGGATCTGGATAAAAAATTGTTTAGATGGGTATGGATAATCCACAGTTACCCATCGGGTAGTCTATTGGATTTTCAAACTATTCAATTATCATTTATTTATTTTAAGGAAGGGTCATTACGGACTAGGTCATGACTAGGGCTACTGATTAATCGGATTTACTCGACGAACCACCCGAACCGAAACTTATTCGGGTGATTCAGGTCGACTATTCGGCTGACATCAGGGAATTTCGGCTCTACCCGAACAGCCAAATAACAAATGCGGTTCGGTTTCGGTTGGTAGAGCTGTTGTTCGGAGACCGATCGAATTACCCGAATAATTGATTTTTTAATATTTTTATATTAAATATATATACTAAATTTGACCAGAATTATTTAGGGTTTAGAACTCATTTTCAGATTTTCTTCTTCGACTGTTCGACACTCTCTCCTTCTTCTTCGAATCTCTGCGTCGCCGTCAACGGCAACCCAACGCCGCCGACATTCCAACCACAATCTCACCTCCAAAATCACCTCCACGACTCCTCCTCTCATTTCCCACCTCCAAAACCCATTTAATCGACCAAATCCACCACCAATCTAACCTAAACCAGATTTAGGGTTTCAGTTCCCAATTTGGGGCTTTTTTCCAATCGATTGATTCGAATTGTCCACCTCCACGACTCCTCTTCCTATTTCCTACCTCCACAACCCAGTTAATCGATGCAATCCATCACCAATTAAACCCAAAACTAAATCTAGGGTTTCACTATTTTGGAGTTCCCAAATTTGATTCGAAGTGACCTCACCGGCTCACCCAGCTCACCCTCCAGTTTCGGCAAATCCTCAAGGCTTTAGGTAAAAAACGAAAAACAGTTTTTTTCTTGTAATGCTTCTAATTTGGGCTGTAAGCCTTGTTTATAAGTTTCTTGAGATTTTTCCTTCAACTCTTAGTCTGTTACTCATTTACTCATGTTTTGGTTTGTGTTTCCTTTAAATGCAGGAGCAGGAGACTGTTAATGTTTCTGTTTTAAGGTACTTGGCTACTGTTGATCATTTAAATTCATCAGTCATTAGGCTACTGTTTAACAAGTTGATAGTTTTTGTTATTGATTGTTTTGTTTTTGTTTTCTTCTATTAATGCAGGACTGAGAATTGAAGTTTCAAGTTGTTACTGTTTTAAAGTAATACTTTTTTTTCCTGTCTATCTTTGTTGAGCTTTGATCTTTCTAAGTTTCTGTTTGAATGTTTCTGAGAAAATATGCATGATTAGTTATACATTGTGAGTTCACTGAGACTGAATTGTGACTGTCAACTGGTACTGGTGATTGCATGTGAGTGGTTGAGTTCAGAATTGTGAGTTGTGACTGTTGTTATTTCTGAAAAAATGCATGGTTCACTGTAACTATAAGTCTATAAATGTCACCACAAATGTTGCATGGAATGTTGACTGTTGTAATTAATGTTTGTAATTTTAGTACCTTGTTGCGACTGACTGACTGTCAATGCTAATATGCATTCATGTGATTCACTTTGTGATTGAAAAGTCTGAAATTGAGTACTGCCATATTTATCAGAGATCATGCCTTGTTGTTTATGATGTCTTAGTGTTTTAGAGAAATTGTTGTATCATGCATGCAGGACTGTCAACTGTTAACTGACATGCTTCTTGATTCTTGGTTGGCTGTTAAAAAGTGTTGTTGTGTGTTCTTCTGTGGTGTTTGTGCTGAATGCGACATTTAACTAAAATGCTTTTTTTCCTTCTTTTTTCTGTGTAGATGTCAGAAATAAGATCTGATTTTGATGACAATCTTGACGATATTGAGGAGATTGAAGTCGAGAGAGGTTCACTACCTCTTCCTCTGCTGGATTTGCCTGATGATGATGCGTTGATGGTAGATGTACAAATTGAGGCCAAGGGAATTGATGAAGGTGAACCTGCTGTTCCTAATGCACCAAAGCTCCCGAAGCAGCGCAGGTTAACTCGTAAGTGCTCTACGGTATGACCTTACTTCCCTACTCATAAAGATGTTAAAGGTATGTTATGGGCTAATTGTAAGTATTGTGGTAATACATATATGGCACATTTGCGGGTTTGTAAAAAGTATTTATCCCTGAACCAGGATCCTGGTCAGAGTAAGTTAGTTATTGAAACTGGGGATGGAAAACCTGCGAGTGTAGGCACTTGGATGTATAATGAAGAAGAAATAATTAGGGCAATGATTTGCATGATAATTGTTGATGAATTGTCTTTTAGGTTTGTTGATAAGAAAGGGTTTACATATTTTTTTAGGAAGTTGCAGCCACAGTTTGTGCCTAAGGGTAGGCAAACAGTGGCTGATGAATGTTATAAACTGTATTTATCTGAGAGGGAAAAATTAAAAGTTGAGCTGAAAGGAAATGCTAGTAGAATCTGCTTCACAACGGATACATGACTTCTTTGCAGCAAATAAATTATATGTGTTTGACTGGGCATCATGTGGATAATAATTGGATTTTGAAAAGGAAAATTTTAAGTTTCTGCCCTATAACAAGTCATAGGGTTTGCAATTGAGAATTGTTTGTTGGATTGGGAAATCCCTTTTGATAATGTTTCTTCTAATGATTCTGCCATGGAGTATTTGAAAGAGCAATTTTCTCACCAAGAAAAGTGTGTGTTGGGGTGCTAAATGGCTGTATGTTTGTTGTATGGCTCATGTGATGAATCTGGTTGTTAAAGATGGTTTGGCATATATAGGCAAGTCTATTGATAGGATTAGGGCTGCAGTTAAGTATATTAGGCAGTCTTCAAAAAGATTGGCAAGTTTTAAAAAATGTGCTGAAATTGAGAAGTGTGGTAGCTCTAAGAATCTAGTATTGGATA